TTGGGGGGATGGGGGGTTGGGGAGTAGGGGGGTCTGCAGGCAGTAGGCAGTGTAGAGGCACCTCATTGAATAGCTTGGCCTTCCCGCCCAGCACACTCTCCCCACCCCCCACCCGCCTGGTGCTGACTGCCCATCGCCAGGGAATTCAAAATTACAGAACTAACGGGCTCTGCAGGTCAATGGTGCTCTGCAGGGCAGCTGGGCCCTGACCCCTTTGTCAGGGAACTGCTCATCTCAGAGAGAGAATGTTCTGGCTCAAGTCCCGCCAGCTAGGAGAGCCGCCCTGCGGGCCTGCAGACCCAGCGTGGGTGTGGGAGCCCAGGGACGATGCCAAGACCCCGAGAAGCCTCCCTCTGTCATGGCCACGGGCTGAAGGTCTGCCAGACTGGGCCTGGACAGGGAGGGCCAGGGCAGGGCACAGCAACAGCCTCTCCTGGATGGGCCCGTGGGTGGGAAGTGAGGGCTGAGCCAGGCACCCACTGCTCAGCGTGGGGCCAGGGCTTGGAGAGCAGGGCCCATCCTGCGGGCAGCAGGGCCTAATGGGAGGCAGGCTGGTCCCATGTGGCAGCCATCGCTAGTCCCACTGAAGAGAAAGGTGGGGGTTGGGGAGAGAAGCCCACTTGTCTCCCACCCCTGTGATGCTTGGCTTCTGAGCAGAACGAAGACCGTGACCATTAGAAACCGGAAGTGGGAGAGCGGCCTGGGTGGAGTGTGGCCAAGGGGAAGAGGGGGTGGCAGGATGGCCCTGGGGGCGGGGAGAGGGCTGGGGACGGCAGGCACAGCACCGGCCTTCCTGCAGCCGCGACAGTAGCAAGAGCAGCAGGGTCAGCGGGAGGGGGGTGCCTCGTTCCCTCTGGAGCTCACGGGGCCTCGTTGGAGCCAATCCCGTTGCCTTTGTTGACGTAGAATGGCCGGTGGTGAGACTGCGGGAACAAGAGTAGGTAGGGGTGCGCATGGCGGGGATCCCATTAGCCAGACCCACCCCACCCTAACCCCCGGGAAGCAGCAGTGGTCTGAACCCCAACAATCCTACGGGCTGCGGCCTAACCTGCAAGCTCGATCTATGCTGTGATCAGGATCGGGCGCCCATGTCAGTTTCCAGGTTCAAATCCTAATTAGAGTTTATTTCCCTCCATTGGTTGGTGAGCTTGAACCTCAGCCCCTCGTCCAATTCCCGCCATGGCCCAGGGCCTCCCAGCCATTGCAGCTCTCGCTCTGCAGGGCCACAGGCGCTGCTCACACTCACCCGTTACCTGGGCTACTGCTCTCACGCCCACCCTCCAGGTGAACGAACCGAGGCGCTGCGGGGCTGAGCGCTTTGCCCGGTCACAGCGGGTAAGTAGAGGAACCGGGAGGCCAGGCCCAGCAGGCCGGTCTGAGCACCCACCGGCCCCACCCATTTCTCCAAACCACTCCCGGGTCTCGAGGGCTTTGCCTGAATCTCTTGACAGAGGCGGTAGAGAGAGGCCTGCACCCGCCCCGCCCAGCAGGGACCACGCCCGTCTCAGCCCCTCCTCTTCCATCCTGGCTCCTCCTCAGGACTCAGGAAGCACCTCTCAGGACAGAGCCAACGACCCTCTCCTGCCGGGTCTGTGTGTGACACCCAGCAGTGAGTTCACATCACCAGCGCTCCCCTCACTTCCTAGGCCGTGGCAAGCACGGGGACCCTGACCCTGACCCTGACCCAGGAGACACCAGGTGCCCCAGCCCTGTCCTTGGCCTTGCCAGCTTAGACCCTGTGTTTCCTCGGGCTCCTTGCTGCGCCCGGTCCCCAGCAGGCCTGGGGCCTGGGGAATGCGGGCTGAGGCCCCAGCTCATGCCTCGGGGACCCCATCTATAAGCAAGGGGAGAGATGGAGGCCAGGGAGGGAATGACAGGCAAGGCACACCGCCGCTGAGCCGCAGCGTCTGGACAGGTCTCTGGACCCCCAGGTGCCCACTGCACCCCAAGCCTTCAATACAGCAAAGGGAATGGCCTGGCCGTGGCTGCGCCGTTCAGGGAGGCGGGTCAGTAAGATGGGCCGCGGTCAGTGAACAGCGCTGTCTCTGTAGCCCTGAGCGGGGGTGGTGGAGACACAGCCCAGGCACCCGGCAGGGTGTGCTCCCCCCCACCTCCGTTCCCTCTCTGGGTCACAGTCACAGGCTGTGAGGGTTGGAAGAGCTATGACATCATCCCAGCCATCTGACTCATGTTACAGATGGGGAGACTAAGGCACCAAGGAAGAATGGCTCCCATGAGGTCACATGGCAAGGTGGTGAGAGGCCTGGGGCCAGCCCCCAGGCCACTCAGCCCCCTCCCTGGGTGTAGAACCACCTGCCTCTTCTCCCAGCTCTAGGAGTGGCTGCGGGCACCAGGGCCCAGCCCAGCACGGCATCTGGAGGTGCCATGAGCCCTCTCCACTGAGATGCGGCTCTGGGACATGGGGGACGGGGAGGGGGACGGGGGCTGAGCCCAGGAACAGGGCCTTTGCCTTCCCCTCACTTGCTTTGGGCACCTACTGCTGCAGTGGCCTGGGCCCAGCTCTACGTCACATACACTGTCACTCAGCTCCAATGGCCAGAAAGTTCAGAGCCTCCCAACTAACCAGCCTCTTCGCTCCTGTGGCCCAGGTCCGCAGCCCTGTGCTCTGACCCCCTGTGCAAAGCAGCAGACGCAGCTGTCCTCAGCAGGTGCGCCCACCTCCAGGGCAGCGGGCTGACCCCTCCAGGGCTAGCCTGGCCTCCATGGAGAAGCCTGTGGAGACGTGCACAGCGTTTGAGGGTCTGATCGCTGAGGTCTGCACAGGGCCCGGCATGTCTGCTACCGAAACCTAAACACATCTGTTCCTAAGTTTGCAGACGCTGCCTCAGCTCTCCCACTGCCTTGCCAGGATGCCCATCCCAGGCTGAGCATGTCACACTCCCAGAGCTGGCAGCAAAGCTGCCATTCAGCAAGCACGGGTGCCCAGCAGCCATCTGCCAAATAACAGCCAAGGCTGCCCGTTTTACAGATGAGAAAACTGAGGCTCAGCAAGTCCATGATGACTTACGCTCCTGCCTGTGAGCCCTGGGCTCCTACTGCCCTTTGCTGTGTGCAGGTCCTCAGCCACTGCTGCCTCCTCCCGCCCACGGCCCGGAGATGCCACCGTCCCCCCACAGGCCCCGGGCAAGTGACGAGCTGTCACTGGGGAGCCCCATTTAGCGCCCCATCTGGCCATGCCTGGTCCGGACGGCTCTCCGCAGGGCTCCTCACTCACCAGCAAAGTCTGTTTGCCAGATTTCCAAGTCTGGGGCTGGACCTTGGGGCTCTGGCTCCGCATGAGGGAGGGGTAGCCTGGGAAGACAGCGGCTGTGGTCAGAGGAGGCCCTGCACGCTGGGAGCCCCAGGGCACGGACCCATCTCCAGAGAGACCGCCAAGCTCCACCCAGCCCGTTACCAAGGAGAGCCACCTGCGGAGGTGTGCACCCCGGGGTCCCGCTGGGGAAACCTGGGAGGCTGGCCAAAGGGAGGGGGCCCAAGGCGAAAGAGAAGGAGCAGGCGAGGTGGGCTGGGCCAGGCAGCAGAGGAGTGTCCCCCCGATCCAGGTCAGGGTCACCCCACTCTGTGGGAATTTTCTCCCCCTCCCCCCATCACCTCCACCCCCGTCCTGAAGCCTCACCCCCTCCCAGAGCCCAGGAAAGCCTCTTCATAGCACAGCCTGCCAGACTCCAGAGGAGGCCCCCAGCCCGGGCAGCACGGAGACGGATGTGCCCTCACTGATTGGCCCACTGGGCTCCGGGCTGGGCCTCCCCGAGCCCGCCCTATCTCTGTGAGCCCGGCAGTCGCCCTGTGTGAACCCAGGTTTGCTGGACACCAGCCCCGCCCTCGGGCTCTGCTGCCCCTCCTGCGTCAGAGCAGGAGGACGGGATCCCGGGAGGGGCAGCAGAGCCCTGTGGCTGTGGTCCGGGGATGAGACCGCAGGCCCCGGGGCCTGGAGCAGGGGTCCTGGGGCCCCCAGGGAGGTCTGGGAGAGCTGTAGCCCCAGGACTGGGAAGGCAGGAGCAGGGCCAGGGAAAGACCAAGCTGAGGCCTGGAAGCAAAGGGACTCAGGAAGTCAGCAGGCCCTGCCTGGCCGGGGGCTCAGCAGGTGAGCCTCATCCCGGGCACCAAAGGGTTGTGGGTTCGATTCCTCGTTGGGGCACATACCTAGGTTGCAGGTTCTACCCCTGATCAGGGCATGTGTGGGAGGCAACTGATTAAGGTTTCTCTCACATTGATGTTTCTCTTTCTCGCTCTCTCTCCCCTTCTCTCTAAAAATCAATAAACATAACTTCGCGTGATGTTTATAGTGTGGGATTCATGAGGTCAAACAATTAAAAAAGAAAGAAAGCCTGGCCAGTGGGGCTCAGGGGTTGAGCAGTGACCTATGAACCAGGAGGTCACAGTTTAATTCCCGGTCAGGGCACAGGCCCGGGTTGCGGGCTCAATCCCCACTGTGGGGTGTGCAGGAGGCAGCTGATCATTGATGTTTCTCTCGCTCCTTCTCCCTTCCTCTCTAAAATCAATAAAAAACCACACAAAACATTAAAAATTTTTAAAAAAGAAATCACGTCTGTCCCTGGCGAAGGCCACTGAGAGCCCTCAGGCCTGTGCGAAGGGACAAAAGCTGGTCAGACCCAGAAGCCGCCGGCAGCACCGGCAGGGTGCTAGCAGCTGCCCTCCCTTGGTGGGCACTGGGCGAGGGCAGAGAGAAGCAGACACCCTGGGCTCCGCCTGCACCTGGGGCGGGACAGCCTTGCAAAGAGAGGGTCCTGCTGACCCTGAGCGGGAGCCATTACCAGGAAGAAAACCCCGCACCAGCCGGGAGAGGGGGCCGGGCCCAGGAGGAGTAGGGCAGCAGGGGGACAGTGGGCGCCCACGCTCTCCCGGGTGGGAGAGAGGGGCGGGGAACGGACAGGTACCGGGACTAATTTTAAACAGCTCTTTGGTGTCCACCGGCTTGGGGAACTCTGTGGTGGCCTGTCCCAAGGTGGGGAAGTGGTAGGGGGGCCGCCCAGGGCCTGCTGGGAGAGAGAGACATTAGCAGCGCGGGCGTCTCAGGGGCTGCCTTCCACAGCCCAAGCTCTCTGCCTCCTGAGCCTCTGCGCCAGCTGCGGGCAGGGCTGGTCCTGGGCGGGGCCTCCTTGCTCACACGCAGCCCTGCCTCCCTCCAGGGCCTTCCCAGGGGCTGGTGAGCTGATCTGTGGAGGTAACGCAGGTGTCCCAGGTTTCCTGGAGGACACAGTGCATGGGAGGGGGCTCCCCTGAGGTCAGGCGCCCGGAGGCTCTGCGGGCAGGTGAGGAGACACTGGGGAACAGGACACCCCACCTGGCACCTGCCGGGCAGCCTGTGACTGGACCTGACCGCAGAGCAGGGAGGGACCCGTTAGAAGCCACACAGGCCACAGGGACCCCAGTTCCCCAGCTCCTGCCGGCGGGGACCCTTCACCTGGCTGATCGCTCCTGGAAGAGGGGGCTGGAGGATGAAGCCGCCTTCAGAGGCCGCTGCCTGGATATCTG